GAAAGTTGAAGAAGGAAAAGAGAGAAGAAAAAGTGCAACCAATTTCTACCACTATGTGGCCAAATCGCACCCAAAGCCGCATAGTGGGGCGGTATTCCCTTGCCATCATGGTAAGGGCTACCGCCAAACGAAACCCCATCCTTTGAGCCTAATAATGCACTATCATTTATCACATCTCTTTTTTGACACAAATGCATGTAATTTTTTTTGGTAATTGGTCACTCTTTAATTTTAAGAGTGTTACATACTTCTTATATTTGTAAAGTAGTTTTGAGGCTCAAAGAATCATATAAAAAGAAAGGTGTAACGTATTAAAGGTACTCCAATGGAGATAAATTCCATGGTTAGGATTCTTGGTTGTCATGCCCCCTCCCTCGTTTTTCAAATATTTAGGTATCCTTGTTAGAGTAAACTTGTCGTTATCAAAACATTGGAAGCCTATTGTTGAAAATTTTAAATCCAAACTCCCATCTTGGAAAGACAAGGCTTTATCCCTTAGAGGTTGGCTAACTCGGGTCAAAATGGCTCTAGATAGTCTTCCAAATTAATATTTATCTCTAATTTCTTTATCATGACCACCAATGAGAGAACAATTTAGATTTGATTCGACAAGGATTCATTTTGAACATCTGATTACCTATGAAGGTAAATTGTTGTTTGGAGAGCCTCACTCTATAAATTTCTAAGTCTTATCAAATTACAAGACAGAAGTGTTGGTATTTCTTCCTTGACTTGGCCGTTATGTGGTTGTGTTTCGAAAGATGTTGGTTATCTTTTTGCTTCCTGTTACATGGGTACGAACGTTTAATTTGGTCCCTTGTTTGTTTCTGGTGAAGGCATGATGCTCGGATCTCCAATTCGTTCTTCATTAGGCCATCTCTAATAGGGGTTTCATGAAGAGTTTCATGGGCTAAAAAGTGGTGATGTGGCATTGAATGAAGTAAAAATGCATTGTAGTTAGAGTTTATTGAATGGGGGTTCAATCCCTATCGAACAGTGTAATAGGATTTTATTTTTTTTCTTTTTCAATTTAATAGAACAATATATGTTGAATTTTCTTTTCTTTTCTTTTCTTTTTTATTCTCAATTTAATATAACAATTTATATTGAAAGTATCATTTAAAATTTTTTCAACAAAAAAACAATATATTATTATTTTTTATTTATAGTTTATTTTATTTTATATTCAATAATTTAATTTATTATGCAACTTTATATTTTTGTTATTCTAAACAATAAAAAAATATATAAAAATCTTTAAAATATTTAAAAAGATAACATGTTATTTATTATAATACAACATAGTGAAATTACATATTAATAAAACGTTCATAGATATGCTCCATTAAATCATGTCAAAGAACATGATGTACTGCATTATCACATAGTTCAAAATTTCTTTGAATTTGATATTGAACTTCTTCGATAGGTCCTTGATTCATATGTATAGGAGGATCAACATCATCTGACCAATTACTAATTACATTTCTTTCATTTTCTATGATCATATTATGTAATATAATGCATGTATGTAGTATATCCTTTATTTTTTTAGGTTGCCAAGATCTTGGTGGACCTCGTACAATTGCCCAACGAGACTGAAGAACACCAAATGCTCTTTCCACAACCTTTCTTGCAACCACTTATATTTCTTTAAACTTGATCCTTTTAGGTCAACCGTACGTGCAAAAACTTTGAACCATTGTAGCCCATTCAGGATATATACCAACTGCAAGATAACATCCTTTCGTGTATGTTCTTCCATTAACAATAAAACTACATTAATGTCATTGTTAGACGCGACAACACTGAAATATGCATGCCATATCCAAAGGTCTTGGTATACATCTACTTCTAGCATAATTATTGGAAAACCTTGATCACTTTGAGTATATTAACCTTACCATGCAACATGGTAATTTTTCCAAGGCCAATGCATGCGGTCAATACTTCCTAGCATACCACGAAGCCTGCGTTTTCTGAATGTTTTTGTACTAAATTTTGGATTTCATTAGCATTAGGTTTTCTCAAATAATAGCTTGAATAAAACTCATTCACACATCGACAAAACTTTTGTATACATTATATTGAAGTTGATTCACGAATTCATATGTATTCATCAGAAAGGTCACCAGTTGTGCCATATGCCCACTGACATATCGTAACAACGCATTTTTGTAAAGGGGAAACACCAATGTTTCCTAAAGCATATCTTCTTTGTTGAAAATAAATAGAATGGTTAGAAGCACTGTTAACTATTTTTAACAAATAGTTCTCGCCTCATCCGAAATCTCCGTCTAAACATTTGAGGTCGGAAAACAGGATACTCATCGAAATAGTCTTTCCAAAGACGTTTATGTCCTTCTTCACGATTTTTATTTATATATCTTCGACTTTGTCCAGGACGTCTTGAACTTTCAACATCTGATTGTTCTGTTTCCAAGCATTTAAGCTCCTTATATAGTTGTAATGTAGAATTACTTATGAGATGGTTGATTATGAATTCAGAAGCAGAAGTATGTGAGGATAATGATGACATCGTATGAAAAAGAAATTAAGAAATAGTTTAAATTGGTAGGTATGAAATAATCAAAAGGTTGTATTCTTTTATAGAAAAAATATATTTTCTAAATGAAATTAAAATTATATTCAAATGAAATCCAAATTAAAGTAAAATGAAATCCAAATTATATTTGAATGAAATTGAAATTAAAGTGAAATGAATTCTAAATTAAATTTAAATGAAATTGAATTAAAATGAAATGAAATCCAAATTAAAATTAAATTAGATTCAAATGACATTGAAATTAGAGTCAAATAAAATTCAAATTAAAGGCAAAGGCATACAAGATGTTTACCTCTACAAATAAAGATGTCCTATTATATTCTCATCCATACCTACCAACCATCTGATACACAAATCATGAATCCAAATTACTATACACACTTATTATCTTCATATGATCCAGAAAATCCAAACTGCCATCCACAACATCCATGCCCATATACAGACAATCATCCACAACATCAATACCAAAATGCAAAAAATATCCAAAATATGCTTACCCAAATCTAAACAATCATCCACAATATCCATACCCAAATCCAAACAATCATTCACATCATTAATACCTGATATCTCCACACCACCCCTATCAAAATGCATACCCATATTCTACTTGCCCAGATTCTCCCCATATTCCTGAAAATGAGCTCGCACCAACAGAAACTCCTACCAACAAAGAACAAAGAAATAAAAAAAAGTACTAGAGCAAAGAAGAAGAAATGTTGCTGGAAAAAGCTTGGCTACAAATTTCAGAGGACAACATTACTGAAAGTCAACAACATGATAAAGAGTTCTGACGACAAATTATTGTGTACTATGAAAGAAGCAACACATCAAACGTTGCAAGAACTCAAGCCAACCTCAAAACATATTGGCATTACATGAACCCTTTTGCAGTTGCTTATTATCAAATGTATGTAGTGTTGGAAAGTCAACACCTCAGTGGACGGTCTGACGATGATCTCAAAAGTGCAACTTTTGAGCATTATCATGCTAGATATGGTGCCAATATTAGGCACGAACATATTTGGAGTATCCTTAAAAATGAACCCAAATGGAAAGGTTCATTCATTGCATCTGGGGAGTTTATATCTTTATCAGATACATAATCTTTCATTAACTTGGATAATGATAAATTTACAATTCATCCAATTGGTAGGAATGCACCAAAAAAAAGCAGCAAAACAAAAAGCTACCAGTTCCACTACGTCATCTGGTAATAGGCTTGATGAAATATTTGAAAACCATATAGAAGAAAATAAAAAGAGTTTCGAACGCTACCAAAACTTTTTGGATATGAGGTTGCACTAAAAGAAAGAAAGATCAAAATTAAAGAAGGAAAGGTAAAGAATGAAGAGATTTCAATAATTTTCATAGATACTAATATCATGTTGGATGATAGATATTAAATTTGGAGAAATAAAATTTATATTTAGATATTTTACTTTTTATTTAATGTATTATTCGTAACATTTGATTTCTAAATTGTAACCTTGAGTTAATATTTATTAACTGTAAACTTTGAATTTCTAATTAATGTAATATTCTAGTTTTATTTATTACTATTATTTATAATTAAAATAATAAAATGGTGACGTGCCTAACATGGTTAGTGGATGTTGATGTGATGATCCATTGGATTGTAAGAAGTTTCGTAATACACTAAGATGATCTTAGAAACCATGAATCATTGTATGTTGGTTTATTATTAGATGCTATCATCTTTTCTTCCTTATGACTAATTTCAAAAGCGATAAAGGAAGATGTGTTCGACAATCAGCCAACCATACCCACCATGATTTTCTTTGCAATGCTATCATCTTTTCTTCGTCTAGTTATATTTGGATTAAATATAGGGCCAAAAAATACTAGTCTAGCTTGGTTGGGTTTTCATCTTCTTGTTTGACTTCACCTTTGTAACTGTCAAGTTTTAGCGTCTTACTAGCTTTATTTATAAAATCGTTTGCCGTTCTTAAAAAAAGACAATTTCACCTTTCTCCTCATAAAACTGATCATTCCTGGACGACTTATTTTTGTCCTAATTACATCGACACAAATACTTCCAATGATTTTTGTTCTTTCTAAATTTCTAGGTCCAGTATAGTGAGTGCGTTGACGATCAAACAAGACGAACAATGATATATGAGGTTAATTATTGTTCTATATTATATGATTTAGTTTTCTTAGCATTTGTTGCTTTTTGACATGTTAACGAATATAGTTGATAGAGTAAAATGAAAATAGGCAATAATATAATAGATTGACTTACTCAAGCCTTCAACTTGTTTATAAAATAAGAATCTAAAATTATAACCTTGTAGACTCCAACAGTTAAAAAGATACTGTGATAATTCACCAATATAAAACCTTTATACACGTCTAATTCTTAAACTTTTTTATAACTTCATCAATTAAGAACACAGTGCTATCTGCAATGGCAACTTCCTTAACGGTGGCCGTCATAGGCGCTGGTCTAGCAGGACTAACTGCTGCTCGTGAACTTCAACGAGAATCCCACCAAGTTGTGGTGTTTGAAAAGTCACACCGACTCGGTGGAACTTGGGCCTATGATCCACGAGTGGAGTCTGATCTACTGGGAGTTGACCCAACTAGAGATATCGTTCATGGATCTCTCTACCACTCTATGCGAACCAATCTTCCTCGTGAACTCATGAGCTTCACCGATTTCAAATTCAGTGAAAAAGTATACCAAGATCCACGGAAGTTTCCTAGCCATGACGAAGTTCTAAAGTTCTTGGAAGATTTTGCATGTAGTTTTGAACTCAACAAGTTAATTCGGTTCAATACTATGGTGACCAAAGTGGAGGTCTTGGATTCAGGGATCACCCAGTTTGTGGTTGAGTCGAATATATATGGGGTGCATTCGGTGGAGGTGTTCGATGCAGTTGTGGTTTGTAATGGTCACAACAGTGAACCTCAACTTGCCACTGATATTCCAGGTACTATACTAGAAACTGAGGTATAGTGACGGACGTTGTTAATCGTCGTTAATCTGTTGCTAATTACTAGTAAATGAACTGTTTTAACACCGGTCTTGTAGGTGTTGAATGTGTGGCTATTCCATAACAAGAATTACAAATTCATGTTCGATTTTAGCAAAAAAACAATTAATAGATAAGTTATCTAAAACTCATTACTTGTTATTTTATGACATTAACTGATTGAATTCAACCACATAATAAATGTTACTAGACTATTTGATTTTAGGTTATCCGTTATACTCACCATTAACCATTATAGTGGTGGGTACGATATCATCACCACACTCCCCAACAATAACCATGAGATACCTACCACTAAACATATAACTATACCTAATTTTTTAGTTAAATTTAAATAAAAAATACATAAAAATCATATAATTTTTTTAAATACTAGTTTTTCATTAATTTAAAATACCAAATTACACTAATAAAAACTACATTAAAAAAAACGTTAAAAATAAAAATGATATTAATTAAAAAAAATAATAATAACAATAAGAATTACAAACCTAAAAGTACCAAACTTCTAATTTGTGTGTTTAAGCAAGGTTATTCCATTTTAGGGAATTCTTCAACTTTAGTCAAGCTTTGAAATATCCAAAACATTTATGATTTGAGTTTTCATATTGCTTCATGCTCACATCAATCAGATCGATATCGGCTTTTTGTACGTTGTTTATAACAAAGTTGTAATTTCATTGAACTCAGAACATTTAGCCCTCATATCGCGTCAATTCAAGCATATTTCATCAACATTTCAAATTGCACAACTCATTAAACCATGAAAAACACTTTCAACATTTCTCCAAAAAGAACCAGAAGTTTGACCAGCGCCTCTTCCGAAACCGTCACCCATGTTTGTGCTAATTTCTCTATTTCCTCTTCTGATAATTTCTTATTTTTGGAAGGTATGGTTTTTAAATGATCAAATAACAAAAATGTATGATGACTAAAGGGAGAAGAAATATATGAAAAATAAGAAGATGAGTGGTAATATTTATACGTAAATATTGAAGGAACATAAGTAAATTGAAATAGCCGTTAGGAATGAGGAAAGAGGTCAAACGAGATTTAAAGCAAGAAATGAATTCACTGGCCGTTTGAAATTGTTGTCTGGAGCACACACCATGAACCACCGTAGTGGTGTGCACGGTCGTGATTCGTGGCCACCTAGACCACGACCCACTTCGTAGCCACCATACCGGATGGTCTTACACCCTCTAAGCAGACAAAAGATAGGGTCTCGCTCATTGGCAGATTTTTTTGTCAACTTACTAGTATGAATAAAACCCTTGAATTCGTATAACCTAATACATTTTAGCTATTGGAAGTCTCAATAACAATTCTTTGTGGTATTTGCATGTGGATATAGCCGATTACCGCGATCATGCACGTAAATCATTTACATATTCTGTTCTTATTTTCATTTGCATTATTGCTCCGCGTATAGAATAGTTTTGTCAATTTTTTGAAGTGCTTAAACCCGAAGAGCAATATATTTTGGTTTCCATTATTTTTGGAATCACAGTGAATCGGTGTCTCTACTTATGATAGGTTAACGCTTTTTTTTTTTTTTTGGAATCACAGTATATCTTCAAAGAAATATTATGATAGGTTAACACTTCTTTTTTTTTTTATTTTATTTTATTTTATTTTATTTTATTTTTTATTTTAAATTTTATGTTTAAATGGAGTGTATCAAAGTAACACTGAATTTTGTAACACTGGACCAGGTCTTGAGACATGGCCTAAAAAGCAAATGCATAGCCACAACTATCGAGTTCCTGAACCATTTCTAGACCAGGTTAGTGACAAAAATCCCAATCAAATATCAAGAAGCTCATAATGGTGTCAATTAGTCATTGTGTATCTGACATTGCATTAAACATTTAATAGTTTACGTTTACCAATTAAGTTACATTAATTAATTAACTAGACCCCTGTATTTAGGGTTTTTTTTTTTTTTTTTTAACTAATTAATTTATTTTATTTCATACATGGCATATCATCATGTTCGAGTGACGGATATGATCATATGCATATTTGCATCAACCATCGTTTTCTTAACTACTTACAATTCATATTTTTTTTCCTAAATGTTATAATTGAATATCTGGTTTGGAAATATAAAAAGATTGTAGTTATAATTGGGAGTGGACCAAGTGCAACCGACTTATCAAGAGAAATCGCGACAGTTGCAAAAGAAGTACATATGTCATCAAGATCGCCACTTGTTAATAACAGACCAAAATTGGTGAAAGCGGACAATCTATGGCAGCACTCCACGGTAATATATGCATATAATTCATTTAGTTTAGAGGTTATAGATTTTCTCGATGCAGCACTTTCATGATTCCTTTGAATTCATCGATGAAGAAATCAAGTTCACCTAGCTATTTATTTTTACCAAACGTCCCGAATAATTTATAAATTGCACGGAGATGTAGTAGTTCTTGATTGCTTAAAAAACATGAGCAACGAGCCAAGGACTTACACTAGTTTGCAACAATATCAAACATCAATTTCTACTTTTATTTGGGTCAACACTCCTCCCCTCTACCACCTCAGCAACCGTCTTCTCACCCCACCTTCAAGATGTGGTGATCACCACAGGAAGAGAGAAGAAGAAAGATGACAGAAAATAGAAGGGTGTGATCAGGAGCCACGCCACCTCAACATTATGGCTAAGGAGGCCAATGGTCACACAGTGATGGTACTCCAGCTCATCATCACACCTGAGGCATATATATAGAGTATACCGTTTAGCCGTTTTGCCTTATAATTCTTAAATGTCCTTAAAAAAATCATTTTAAACAATTGAAAATAACAATTATGTTCACAATATAGCCTCGTTAGTATATTTGGGTCGTAGGTGACACATGTGACCATTTTTGGCAATATGATCATTGTGAATAGAAAATGATACATTTTTTTTAATAACGATGCAAAGTTATATAAAAAAGAGCATTATTTTTATAAACTTTTTGAATACTTAACAGATCAACTATATAAGCACAGACGGTACAATAATATTTCAAGACGGAGTCTATGTTGAAGCGGATGTTATACTTCATTGCACCGGGTATGTACAAGATAATATTCTTTTCAAAATTTGAAAAACATATAGCATATTTGTTAAGTTGTTATACACACATACATATATTGTATATCATTTTGAGTTGACTAGAGAGAAGATAAGAAACTTAATTAATTGAAACCAATAAAAAAAATCACATAACGTCTTCGAAAAATATTGTCGCAAAGAGGTCTAATCACTTCTACAAAATTGGGCTGTTTTCGTTGTGCAAAGCCGGCAGCAGTGATTTTTAGGCGACGAATATTCATCAACAAAAATTATGTTGATCAAAATATATAAGACTGGAGGGTGTCGTGCGGTTTGAGACCGTGTTTCTATGCCAACTAAGCATTAACACCGCTCCCAAGGTGCGGTTTCCTGCAGTCTAAACCGCGGTGCGGCCCCTCAATACCGTGAATTCTGATTTGGTGGTCACTTTTTTGACTGTTGAAAGGCAAGATTCGTTTATTTTTTTTTATTTTTTTATTTTTTGTTTTTTATTTTTTATTTTTTTGCTTTTTCTTTCCTATATATACACATATCAACTTAACTTTTTTTTCACAACACAATCTCCTCTATCTTTCAATATATATATATATATATATATATATATATATATATATATATATATATTATATATATATATATATATATATATATATATATATGTATATATATATTAAATCACCACTCTCTCAAAAATGTCATCTTCTTCATCTTCTGAAGAATTTCAAACTATTTTTGATACCGCTATTGCGTGTGTTCAAATGGCGGAACAAACATACAACGTTTTACGTAACAACGCAGCTGCAAGTTCTCAATAGAGAACACAAAGATACATTTACAAAATCGTGAAGAAGTCAACCAACGTTTGGTACAAGACTATTTTGCAGAGAATGCCACTTACCAACGGTATTATTTTCGTAGGCGCTTCAGAATGCTCAAAGGATTATTCGAACGTATAGTTGAAAATGTAACGAGGGAGTGCAGTTTTTTCCAACAACGCTACGATGCTAGAGGTACACCCGGTTTCACTCTGTTACAAAAATGCACGGCCGCACTTCGTCAGTTAGCATATGACATTCCGCCTGATGCGTTAGACGAAAGTTTTAGGATGTCTGCTAGGATAGCACGAGACAGTCTCCATTTTTTTGGCAAAACTGTGATTCAGTTTTATGGCTCAAAATATTTACGTAAGCCTACACGTAATGACATCCTGCAATTGCAAGCTCATCATGCTAGTGTGCATGGGTTTCCTGGAATGTTAGGAAGCTTAGATTGTCTCCATTGGGCATAAGAAAATTGCCCTACAGCATATCATGGGCAATTTACCCGAGGTGATCATGGTCACCCAACGGTAATATTTGAAGCAGTTGCATCACAAGATATGTGGATTTGGCATGCTTTTTTTGGTTCTCCTGGTTCGATTAACGACATCAATGTTCTTAACCGTTCACCAATATTTAACAACATATACGATGGATCCGCACCAGATTCTTCTTTTCAAGTGCGTGGAACGCCATATAAGTATGGTTATTATCTGGTCGATGAAATCTATCCTGAGTATGCCGTGTTTGTTAAATCGTTTTCAGCTCCACATGGTTCTAGACGAAAGTAATTCAAGAGAGCTCAAGAAAGAGCTAGGAAGGATGTTGAGCGTGCTTTTGGAGCTCTGAAGAAACGGTGGTTCATATTGAAAAAACCAGCAGCTTATTTGGGTGAGGAAAAACTTCAAGAAATCATGTATACATGTATTATATTGCATAACATGATCATTGAAGACGAAGGAAGAGCGATATGTGCGTTTGATGAGGAAGAAATCATACCACAGACACAGCCAATAGAAATTGGTGGCGAAGAGTATATAAACAGGAGAGCAGATATACGTTGCACTGAAACATTTCACAATCTTCGCAATGACTTGGTGGAACACATTTACGGGGTTCAAAACATTAACCTTAATTTGGATCCACCGGATGACCCCGAAGACGAGTTCTCGGAGAACGACTTTATGTAGTTTCCTTTAGTTATTTTATTTATGTTTTTTAAGTTTCTAGGGTTATTTAAATGTCATGTGTGTGGTTTTTTTTTTTTTTTTTTGGTAACGCAATGTACTGTTTTTTTTTTATTTTTTATTTTCAAGTAATGAAGAATTATGTTTTTTTTATTAAAATAGAAGGTATATTAAATTAAACTAGTTAAAAAAAAAGTTTTATTAAATTAAAATACTTAAAAAAAAATGAAAAGTGTGGCAAGAAACCACACTTGAGTGGTAAAAGGTGACATGACGCTGATGTGGCGGGGGAGGGAGTGCGGTTTCGGTGGCACCACTCCCTCCAGCCTAAGTAATTTTCCTGACAGATTCTGACAAAATTTATGATACATATCGGCTGATAATTCTGTCATTATAGATAGATATTTTTTGTGATAGATTTTTGATGACATTTTTATTGATAAATTAGATTTCCGATAAAACATTATAGTCATACATGAAAATGTTCACACCTGCACTAGTAGCATCAAAACTACTAGAAACACATTTTTCATATTGGTTCAAAGAAAACCCACGTGACCAAATAAATAAATCAAACTTTTGATGTCAATGTTTAAAGCTTACTTTAGCTAATACTAAGACTTCACAAGTTTACACATCTTATGCTCAATACCAGACATAACAAATGTTTCTGATTCTTTCGTGTAAAATTTATCATCAAGATCATCATTCAAAATGTTATTTTAAAATCCAAGTGATGAATAATAAGATTGTGTAACCCGTTAAGGCAATCAACAATCAATAGTAGATATTCGTTCATTGGAGCAAACATATCGAAATAGCTGATTCCAAGCATTCCACTAAACTCTTAAATGATTAACTGGTTAAAATCCACCCATGCATGTACCAAGATATTGTCTGCTTTGGAGCACCTAATAACAAAACATCTTAGGTAGGTCACCAATCTTGAAAATTCCTCCCACCTGGGTACACTTAATCACTGAGTTTTGGTATGATCTGCGGCCTCATGGTTTTAAACGCATCTTGATAAGAATGTTTTGGGTTTTCTATGCAACTATACGCTAGATTATGACGGCGGAAACAAAAAAAACATATTAAGTGTACACACACCCTAGGATTTAAGATTATAGCATCGTAATTTTAAAACTAACCTAACAATCCAAAAGAGAGAGTTTTGAAACACTAACCTATTAACAAATCCGATTTATCCTTCAAGCTTGATTCCTTGATCCTTAGTTGCTATTGAAGGACTAGTACCCAAAGTAAACTACCTCTAATGGTTCACACCCAAAAGTCAAGAACTTTAGAAACTAAGGAGAGAGATGATAGAGAGAGAGAGAGAGAGATGAGCCAAAATTCTAAGCCTTTTAGGAGGGATATATGGAACGAAATTATGAGTTCCCTAAGGCCCCTTTTATATAGTTATGGTGGTAATAGGATAACCTAGATTTGAATCAACTAAATAATCAGATTAATCCTAATTTAAATCATTGTCTTATCTATTACTCGAACTAATTCTGGAACCCTCTAAGGAGTCTCCTAACCATACACCATCTACCGGGTTCCAAAATGTTCAATTTGTTCAACTATTAAACAATTAACAACTAGTCCCTGTACATCTAGATTAATTCCAATTAATCCTAAATTAATTAATAATTAATTTCAGTTACTTTCTAATTAATTTATTAGCATGTAATAAATTAATAAACTATTTTCTAAATCTCCTAAAACTTTTCTAGCTATTTTTGCTCTTGAGGACAACCTAAAAACGAATTTGTTATTATTCCTTAAGTTACACCAATTAGTTATTATATTGGACACATATTTGTAATAGTCTCCCACCTGGTCAGTTCATCAACTACTGTTAATCCGATAGACTTCAAATAATCAACAAAGCATGCCTTCCACATCAGTTGCCAAACTCTAATCTTATCAAGAATTGTGCCTTTTATAAGTGATCAATTATTTCTTTGCTTCTTTCAAGATATCATTGTGGACCGAGTCATGGATTATGGATCAACCAAACATTCTATCATTATTTTTTCTCGATTTCTGATTCATGACAATCAAATCATACTACTAATCGAACATATCAATTAATTCTAGGCTAGGCCTAACACATGAATATCATCATCAAATCACTGATGGGCCTACAATATCTCCTTTCACATTATAGTCTAAGGGAACAAATAATCTTTAACTATATAGTATTTCTCTATGCATCAAATCATGCAAACACCTATTCCTTATGACCACCAATTACAAATAGTTTTATACTAAGACTACTACACAACCAAATTGTATGTGAACAACTTGTTGTCTCTTTGTTTTAAGAATGAACGATATTATAGGCTCAGAATTACTTGTGATCAAATACATGAAGTAATCTCACTGAGCGTGGGTTTCTTCAATACTTAAATTTTTATGAAGCACTCATGAATGTTAGTCACAATCTCCATGTTATGTCTAATTTCTATAGACAATCTACCAACACTTCATGACAATATTAACACAATACTTGATCCTAAAAGTATGAACAGTTCTGGAGTTCGAGTATATTAATACTCTAGAAGTGGGGATCTAAATATGTAAACACGAAACACAATATAAATTTAACTGAAAATAGTATCACACATGAATAAAAATAAATCTCTATTACAAAATCACCATAACAATTACAAAATTTATTTTTTTCTAAATATTTTAACTGTACAACTAACTACAAAATTTTACATCATCTCTCATCCCTATTGTAACATCCCGAAAATTATAAGTAAATTTTTTTGTTTGAATCGATTAAAACAACCATTCATTCAATTAAAATCCCATCAGAGTATAAAAATATGTCATATAACATCAGAAGACAGAAGAAGTCAAATCATGCAGAACGCTGTTAGATGCGATACAATCATCTCTATCTCTTCCCCTTGACCAAAAGTACCTGAAACCATAAAAAAATCGTAATAACAAAGCTTAGTGAGATTCCCTAAAATACCCAATACCATATATATATATATATATATATA